CTTAACATGCTATTTATTGATCTATGCCATTAAGCTGAAGACATCATTGATGTCAGGTCAGCAAGCTAAATCTGTAAGCAGATATTTGAATGGAAGAAATGTTAAACTGAAAGCACATTATCGTTCCACTCTAAACAATAAGGCTCCATTGTCTGTCTCTAAGACGGGGTTCTCAAACTTTTGTACTGGTGACCCCTTTCACATAGCAAGCCACTGAGTGCAACCCCCCCCCCCCAATAAATTAAAAACATATTTAACACTATTATAACTGTTGGAGGCAAAGCAGGGTTTGGGATGGAGGCTGACAGCTCGTGACCCCCACCATGTAATAACCTCGTGACCCCTGCAGGGATCCCAACCCCCAGTTTGAGAACCCCTGCTTTAACAGCAGAGACTCATGAATATTACATCTTGGACTGACAAGGAATGTGGGGGGATTATGCCCATTTAAGATTTAAAATACATGACAGTCCATCAAAACAGAGGGTTCTGGGACATCACAAGACTAGTTTTGCTACCCAGTGCAAACTCTTTCAATGCACTGGTTTGTGAATCATCAGAATGCCTTCACGGAAGAGCAGGCTCACTGAGCAGAGCTTAGCCGTTTGTGCACATGTATGAACTCTACTAATCTTTCCTTTCTCCTCCCCAAAGAGATCCCCAGAGTGAAGATTAACTGGCACTGTTGTTGGCAGACTTCAGAGGGGACAGAGAGAGAACTAGCCTCTTGCCCACTAGAAGTGTCCTCTCCCCCAGCCATGTTTATGCACGTTATCAGGGTAAGCTGAGGAAGCAGACACGGCCAGTGCTGCAGTGTCTGTAGGTAGCACTGCAGTCTCTAGCTTTTATTGTTTATATTCCTGTATCACCTCAGAGCCCCAGTCATGGACCAGGAAGGATGCCATTGTGCTGGGCACTGTACAAACACAGAACAAAGCTCCAAAGAGCTTACAATCTAAGGACAAGACAAAAAACACACAGACTGATGGGGAGCACAAGGAAACAATGAGACAATATCGGTTAGCACAATAGGCTGTGCTGATGTCAGTGCATGGCAGCCTAACCGTTGTCAAATTGTCTCTAGGGGTGTAACCTTGCAAAAACACTAAAATAATTAAATCCTTAAAAGTCAGTGTAAAAATACCCCTCCCCTGGTCATCCTGATGCATTAAAATAAGTATAAAGGTTTAAATCTACCAGGCTGTACTACATTCTGTTCTCAGAAACCTGACTGAAAGGTCACTTCAGCACAAAGGCAAATGAAACTTAACCTGAGCCATAAAGATGGAGGGACTTCCATGTGCACCAATGACTGCATGAAACAGGGTTTAGTTTAACAAAAGAGCATGAATATAGTCGATTGAAAATGTTGCATTATTTGCAAGTAGCTGAATACACAAAGAAATGGAGAAAATAATCTTAAATAATTTAATCTCAAACTCTGAGCCCAATCTTGATTACACTTATTACCAGGGATTGTGCTTACCACCACCAAGAGCAATCCGATTTACCATCATAATATTGCTCCTGTTTGTAAGCACTATGACACTCTGATTCAGGAAAGCATCCCTATTTAAGACAGCACTTCAGCCGTGTTTAAGTCCCAAATCAGGGCCTATGCCTGCTACTAAGCGATTGCCTGATCAAGACTAATTTGTATAATGCATTTGTGCAGTTCTAGAGACAGGCCCCTATCCTACAAGCAGCTCTGTGAAGACCCCTCTGTGGAGCCCCACTGAAGTCAGTGGAGGTCCCTTATCCAGATAAATGAAGGATTGGGTCCACAGTTTTTAACCCCTTAACAGACTATTGAAATTGCTACAGACTTGTTTTGTAAGTAACTACCATAAGAAATGAAGCCATTGCTGGGGGCTCTCTTAGCAAGTACATCTTGCCCCTTTTCCCTTTAGTTCTTCACAATGCACATGGCAAATCCATTGCTCATTCCTCGACAAGTCTGCTTTCTCTGCTTGGTTTCCTGGGAGTCTCTATTGGCTGCTTGTCAGCCAAATGCTCACTTTGCCATCTACATAGCCAGAGGGCTCAGTGGTGCCAGCCAACACTTGTTTAAATAGTAGTACTGTTTTATAACACGTCATGCTCTGTGGTACTGAAAGGAAAAGCCAGTAAAAGGAATATTTAATCTAGTGATTAAACACAACACCCTTTGCTGGCTGCTGAAACTGGCAACATGCCATCCCTGTCTGCTGTCTTCACCACCAAAAGGACTATTTTAGAAACTCAAGGTCCTGTAGTACTGGGAACTGTACCTTTAAGTGGCTTAACTTCCCAGACAAAGTCTGGGGCATGGTCACCTCAGAAGCCCCTGTTCTGTTATGCGCAGGCAATTGGTAATGCATTACTGAATAAAGGGGACCTCTTTCGAGCACCTGGAACCCAGAGTGATTACCAAACACCATAGCTCCCTTGCTACGAATGATTCAAATGAGTAGCCTGGCAAGAAAAGCTGGCCAGCCACCAATAAAAGCTTTGATCCATCGGGGGTGAAGTTGACGTTGTCCATTTCCAGACCCAGAGGTAATCAGAATACAGTTCCTTTGCAGGATTTCTGCAAAGCATAAAGACTAGAGCTGTACGTGTACACACTACAATTTAGAGTGAAGAATTTATTCCATAAATATCTCCTTCCTTCCTCCGGTCTGAGAATTATCCAAACCAAGCAATCTCAAGCTTATCTCATCACAATTATTTGCAAAATAGTCCAGCAGCCAATTCTTGGACTGCAGCTCATTTGCTAATATGAATACAGAGGGCCTGCATGGCATTTAAAACATTAACACAGGCTTATGAATCACATAAAACTTTGCTGGCCTTGGCAAAGAGATGAGTTTCTTCTCCATTGTGAATATTTGCAATGGGTGTGCTGGGATGATTAGTGAAGCGAAGGAGTATTGTTTCAGTCCCTTGAACTTAAACATAGCTAAATATCAGTGTGAATTGTGACTTTTATAACCAATTATACAATTCACAATTTCCTTCAAGTGAACGTTGGAGCTTAAAATTAAACTTTTGATGAGTTTTTCTTCCAGGGAAGTTTGACTGATTAAGTGTTTACAGAAAACCAGAACAAGGATCATCAACACTGTCAAAAGTAAAGCGTTCACTTTCAAATGAACACTTGTAGGATTTTTTTTCTCTCATCACCATTCATCCAGCAGTAATACAAATATAACACGAACCTCAGTGACCTGAAATGGTACTATGAGGGTCCTAAACCGTTTACTAGTAACCCCTGCCCTCTTTCTACCCACATCCTCTATTTGCCACAAAGTTCCTCTTGGTTGGCCACAAACTCTGTTTACTTTACACCCAAAATGTGGTTCTAAATTCCAAGTGAGTTGAGCCTATCAAACACCCTCCCTCCTCCTAAGAGTCATCATCCAAGTCAAAGCAACACAGAGGACTGATGTGAATAGCACCACCAATATGAATTGCGGCAAGAAAAATTAAATATGTTGACCTGCTCAAGTAAGTAACTAAAATTCTCTTTATTTCTGACTTTAATGGTTTGCAGAATCAGGTCTGTATATTTTTATACCAGCTCAGTGTAATAAATTATACTTACAAAATGGCCTCCTAAAAGACAGCTCTTTCTGGCAGCATTACAGGGCTGTCTCCACACAAATGTGGTGATGCAGTTATTTCTTACTAATAAATCCTAACAACATCACAGTTTCTCAGAACAAATGCTGTCTTTGTAAGAACATCTCTGTTTGCACAGTGTATTAAAATACTCAATTAAATTATGCCAGTGGACAGTGGGAAAACCTGATGAATGCGTCATGGAGCTCTTAATCTTGTTCTATGTTGGCCATAAAGAAGATTTTCAATAAAGATGAACCCTAAATAGTGGTTTTTAAGAGCAATATCTTGAATTTAAAATGGTCTTGTATATTATAGTGGTTTTATGGCCCACATGAATATGAAGGTGGCTTGTGTATATAAATCACAGCATTTTAAGTAGAACAGCACTTGCTCATTTGTATTCGATTTCTCTACGGGATAAACTGTTGCTGTTCCTTAGCTCACCAGGTAGACACCTGTACGTGTTGATGCAAAGGTCATGAGTATTATTGGCTGCTGCATATATATGGTTGACTGATAATCCTGCGGTCTATGTAGCCCAAGTGAAATACAGCCAAAGATTACTAAGCATGGCTGTGTGATTTAGCAGCCTACATCTCACATTCAAAGGTGATGAATTTACAACCTAGCTCTCCCTGCTCTGCCCTGCCCTAGAGTCACCTTTCACCATAGTCTAAAGCCACACTGCTCACATTCCATGTATTCTGTTCACGTGTCTCCTTCTCCCCATCTCCAATCATTCTTTTCAGCTCAGCTCTCTACCAGCCCCAACACCATGTTTATGGACACACTTGTTTCAGTAGCTAATTAACACCAATGACACGGAAAGGTGATTCACATTCTGGGAGAATTCTTTGCCACTCTCCTGGATGAGTGCATGCAAGCTATTTCTGTTACAGGAGACAATTACTGCACTTATGTGCCTGTAATGGACAGCAGATTGGTTTCGGATTAATTCCATCAAATCCTGCTTTATATCAGATTAGTCCAATGAGCTAAACTCAAATCAACTTTACAAGAGTGGCTTTAACTCCCCTTCACAGTTTGATTTCTAGAAAAAGCAATTAATTCTCAAAGACAGAGTTTGGTAAAGAAGAACTGGAGATCCTTTAAAAAAATCTTATCCGTAATTAAGAGCATTACGGCTGTGACAAATGAAGGGAAGCAGAAACACACACAGACTTCACACACAAACACACATAGGGGCAATAGGAAAGCTCTTCAGGTAGCACCCTATTGGCTATAGCTACTGTGCTGATGCCATTGGGTGCGATCTTGCAAATGTTACCAACCAGAGTATTTACTACTGTGTGTTGTTCCATTGGTGTCTATTCATAACAGTAAGCACCATACCCAGTAACACATGTTTGCAGGCACAAGACTCAATTTAATCTAGCTCATAAATACAGGTAAAACAGTGGATTGGAGGACCCTTCAAGTCGCCCATACTGCTGCTGCTTCTCTGACTGAACCATGCTGCTGCAGTGACTTAGTTTCTATAAAATGCTGTTGTCTGTGGTCTCTTGCAGAAAATTAGAGAGGAACAGTTGCAAAGGTTATAGGTTTGAAAAAGGGGGAAAAAACATTAAGGAAAGGAAAAAGCTTTTCACGCTGCTACAGTTAAGAGTGTTCCTATTGGAAAAACCTACTCCTGGGAATTCATAAACCTGGGCATAAAAACTTGCTCCAGGCTAACTTTTTGCCTGCAGAAAAATATATTCTTTTCATTAATGTGAAACTCCCAGTTACTGGCATGGACAAAAAGTGGATCCCCTGAAGTTTCAAGCAAGGAACATTTTTTAACTTCACACTGCAAAAGAATGCAAGCTTATTTGTGTGTCAAATGCTTGTTTTCCGTAATTCACCAGCGGCTCTGGGTTCTGTTAATACTACTTTGCAAATGCTCCATAGCATAGACTGGCTACGTTTTTGATATTTATAAAATAAACTCTGCGGCGGACTGCTTGCACATGCGCAGTACCTTGTTTTCAGGCCATTTGCCACACATATCTATTAACAATACAACAGTAGCTCCAGAGTGGAACAGAAATGCCTCGTAAATATGGATTTACGTAACTGACTGTAGTAACTCCAGGTTAGCGAGGGCAGCTGATGAACAGGCCCAGAGTAGGATGGTATTTAAGGCCTCCAAAATGTGACCAACCCTACAGCACATGACTCAGCTTCCCTAACCCCATTACAAATCTAAAATATCAACGTATCTATTTAAAGCATACAGCAGGGGGTAAAGGTGGTGTAAGAAGAGTCAAGCCTCAGATAAATAAATGCAATATTTTATTGTTGCATTACATTTTTCAAGCTACATAAATAAGTGTAAGGACATTTTGTGGTTGTACTAAGCCACTATGACAACTATGACCTTATTGTGGCAGCAAAATGCAAGAAATCCCCTAGGATTTAGCAGTATTCTGACATTACAATCCTGCAGTCACCTCCATAAGCAATTAAGCTAAATTGCTGCACTGATCCCTGTTGTATTCAAGAGGACTGTGTCAGAGTAATGCAGCCTGTCAGAGAAGAAAGTCGAAGATGTATAACTAGTGGCTGATAAATGCTGAACAGTTCTAACAAGTGGTAAGAATGACTGCAATGCAAAAACGAATATAGATTCCACAGAGGCTGTAAAAATTCTTTCTTCTAGTTGTGTCAGATCTACCTGAATAGGAAACCCATATTCTTAAAGAGAAAGTTAGTGGCCATGGACGATGCCAGACTTGCCTGATTCTATGCAGTGGTTAAGCCAGAAAAGAAGTCAATGGAGTTGCATAAAAATATAAAACAAAGTGGTGTTCTTCCCTAGTTGTGGCTACCCCATGTGCTGAATGCAGCATACCCCAGCTCCCTTCCTCTGCATGTGAAGGAGCAAGGTTGGCACACTGTGTGTTGAGCAGATAGTGACTGGGCCAGAAAAGCAGCTAGGCTGGTGGTAGAAAAGAATGATGCTTCAATATCCTACAGGCGAACGTAAGGGATATGGATTTTTTGGGGCAGAGGGAGGGTGATGGATGGACACTAGGGAATAGAGACGACTGATGAGGATGAGACACTGATTAGAAAGAGGAAGAAAGCAGGAATGAGAATATCAATAAAAACATGGGGAAAAACAGAATGAATGCATGAAGCAGAAGCCTGAGAAGAGAAACACTAACAGTATGTAGCATATAACAGATGGAGAGAGTGTACAGGATGGGAAAAAGGAAAGAGGAAAACAAAAGAAAAGGAGAAGGTATAAAGTGTTGCAACAGAATAGTGTGTCGGTAAGTCCCGTGGAGTAATACGTTACTCCATATTTAAGGGTGCAGTGAGTTACTGTTTATGTCTCTAAGGGGCATCCATTCCAGGAGGATGTATCACTGCCTCATAAAGATACTACTGAAGAGCAAGGAAGTTTGTCATTAGAATGCAGCAGATTGTCGTATATGGCAGGGCTTGGCATCACCCCACTACACCGATTGTTAGCATGCTCTCGGGAGGTGTCCCAAGACTGCTTTTGGCCCAAATTCTAAGCAAGTGCCAGTGATCAGCAGGACAGGCAACTTCCCCACATTCACTCACCACCAACGTTCCAACGACCAGCTCTAGGGGCCAGAGGGGTTGCTTAGTCTCTCAACAGTCCATGCAGTCTGTGGCCCGTACTGGTCTTTCTCAGTGGAGGGCCAATGATCAGAGGTAAAATTTGCTGTGGGTTAGTTTTTAACTATGTATGTTGACACACTGCTCCAAAAACTGACTCTCTCCTTGGCAAGTTGAAAAAGTGACTGTACTCACTATTTACGGGAACTGGCACAAACAGATGCAGGAGGCTGTAAAATAGGAGACTATTTTGTCTGAAGTTAAAGCAACAGGCTCTAACTTTTTGCCTGGTTTCACCAGTGCCATTTCATGACTTTCTACCATAAACAAAAGTCACTTTCTCAAAATATTAAAGGCTTGGTGAGTTGGCATTGAACAAAGACTACAGTCCCACCCTGAGCGGTTTATATTATAAGACTCTTGAAAAACTGAAGATAGTTTGCTAATCAGTAGCCAGGCTATATATTTTATTTCCTTGGACTAGACAAGAAGCATCTGGCACAAGCAATGGTACTGCAACAAATAATGCAATGAGTATTTATTTTGCCTCCTTAAGACAATCACATAAAGCACACTCAATTTTAACCTGTATTTGAGGTCTATTGTCCAAATCCTGTTTTCAATGGCTGGATCAAAAACTTGCTTCACAAATTGTTGGGCCTAGTGTTTGGCATAGTTCTTTCTTAAGGCCAATAGCTGGGGGCAATATGCCCTTGTTGCATTCAGGCTGTCTTAGGACCAAAGCCTGCAATAACCTTAATGCAGCGTGCACTCACATGATGCTAATTGCAGGATCAGGGCCTTACTGTAGACAGCAGGCTAAGTATTGATGTACATGAACCATGCTTAGAGGCCTAAAATGTGTCAGCTACCAGTTTTGGCTGGAAAAGGAGGGGCAGGACTTGTGAAGTTTCCACTATAGGGAAGATTTGACTAGTCATATCCAAAATACAAACCAAGTAGTGAGTTCTAGCCTCCATACATATGGTAGTTCTACAGATTAAAGGATCCTGGTGTTTACAGCCATTTCCCCCTTAAAACTGGGACGATGCGTCTCATTGGGTTTTATTGTGGGGAGTGAAAAAAAAATTAGATTTAGATTAACATGAAACTGATTTGTTTCCTCACTGCAAGGCAACAGCAAGCTGATACCCCATTTAATCGCACAAGTGCAGGTGTCTGAATTTAGTGTCTAATATATATACACATTCTTTACTTTCAAAGGGGAAAATGTGAATTAAGTAAAAGATCTAGAGCCAGATTCTTCAAACAAATTTATTATTGATGTTTCTTGCCTGTCTGACCTAAGACGACTGACTTCTGAAACCTAGACTTATTCAAACCACTACAATTTCCTCTATAAGCCATTTGTCTAGAGTAGAAGACCAGGAGAGCAGCCAGATTTACGACTCATGACACAAACATATAAATCTTGGGTCTTCGTTTGCAAGTTAAACAACAGTTAAGTGTGGAGTTTGTCAGACTATGTAGCTTTTGATCCTTTAATCAGATGTGGAACAATTTAACAGAGTAGAAGCAGCATTTGTATTTTCCCCCTTCATGTATATATTTATCCTTCAGTTTGCTGCTAGTTCCCAGGGCAAGTGTGTAACAACTTGCACACCATTGGGATGCAGCTGCCAATTTAACTGTGGGGAATTGTCTAGATGAGCTACATTTTCTTCCGTGCTTAACATTCCCCTCCAGGCTAGAAAGACAATGTTGCAGACATGTCGGCAGTGGCTTCCCCAGCCCCTCAGCTCCTCTAAAGAGGCAGTCTAGTAGCTAGCATGGCTAAGACAATGTCTCAGTCATGCTTTCTGCAATGATGCTAACAACAATCATCCATATTATCATTAATTGTATTATCATAGCACCTCACCAGCAGCTAAGTTCTTTAACAACAAGTGAAGAGAAAGTCTGAGGGTGTTATTTTCTTACGATAGGTGGAGTCAGAGTTTGAAACAGTGGCTATATATTACTAGCTTTGTTGGACTTGTCTGATTTGCAGAGGTGCAGAACTCTCACCACTGCAACAGAAGTCAATGGGAGCTGTGCTTTGAGCACATACCAGGCTACGTAATGCTCACTACTCTGAAAAGTCAGATCTTAAAGTGTCAAACTGGGCACCCAAAATTAGCGAACATTTGACTTTAATCTCTGTTTCAGTTCTCCATCTGTAAAATGGGGAGAATACTCACTCATTTGGGTGTGTGAAAATAAATGAATGTTTGTGAAACACTCCGATTCTATAGTGACGTGCGCCACAGACAAGACAATGAGGAATTAATAAATTCTGTCTTCAGATCACTGTTTGGACAATGTGCAGTTAAAAATTCTCTATTGTCAATGCACACTTAAGAACTTTTAGTGCACAGCAGCAGGGTCTACATGGACAGCATGCAGCATGGTAAGTGTTTGTGCAGATATGGCCAAAGTGAGCACCTTCCATCCTATGCACTGAATGAGGCAAGGGGGTACTGGGGTAAAACACTATGTGATCATGTAATTAAAGACTATCATAATGCACAACAACAATTAAAGTTGCCCAGGTAACCTTAATTCTGTCACTTCCTATCTTTTGAGTTCTACACTTTGAAACCTTATGGATGTTCTTTTAATGTACTGTTTGTGTATTTGTATTCCAGTAGCCCCAGAACTGTGCTAGGTACTGTACAAACACATTGCTGCTGGAGAGAGTTTGACCGCATGCAGAACTGGTGCAGATTGTGCCACTGTGGTGTGGAATTCTATTTAGAAAAGAATGATGGCTTAAGACACCTCAAAAGGCATGAAATTGTTTATTTACTGGTGACCTCAAAAGGGCCAGCATCAGTGTTGCCTGATGAAAAAAACCTGCAGATAAACAGCCAAATAAGGATAAGATGTGGCTTGTCAAACAAGCTGTGCTAAACCCTAAAATTAAGTGCCAAACAGCACTGCTGTTACCCTAAGTAAGGCAGATGGGGCGACAGCTGTGGAGGAAAGGTAGATAGTGTTACAGCTGAAGATGCATACAGATAGATGAAATGAAGAGATAGTTGAGGACCTAATGAGAGCCAGAACCAGAAGCCAATAGGACATGAAGACCTGCCATCCAAGAGAGAAGTTTCTTACTCTGGAGTCAAAATGGGAGCAACTGAAGGGTCACGTATGCTGGAGAAGCACGAGAGTTTACCGGATCCAAGAATTCAGAAGCACAAGGACACCAGCTGGTAGTCTGACGCATTCTCATCCCATTCACTTTCAGACAGATGTTAAGGACCAGGAGAAGTCTAGTGTAGAGCTACAGATAGGAGGGGAAATTGTTTAAGCCATGAGCAAAGTGAACCAGGACCAGCGATGAACCAAGAGCCGTGTCAATGGAGCCAGGTTTCAGAGATCAGGCACATGAAATTGGAGGCTGGACGTGCTGAGCAGGGTAAGTCAGGTGGTGATTCCAAATGACCGTCTGGTTGGCTGCAAAGAAAGAAATTGCAAATAAAGGTCTTATAATTGTCCTAGATTTTTTTGCTCACAGAAGATAATAATGTGTTTAAGTTACAGGTCGCTATAATCCTAGTACTGTGTTAGTAAAAGTCAAACATTAATTTCAGAAAGAACAGGAGTACTTGTGGCACCTTAGAGACTAACAAATTTATTAGAGCATTTGTTAGTCTCTAAGGTGCCACAAGTACTCCTGTTCTTTTTGCGGATACAGACTAACACGGCTGCTACTCTGAAACCTGTCATTAATTTCAGAGAAAGTCAAGGCCAACCTATGTTGGGTGATGGAGGCCAAGAATGATCAAAAAGGCAGAAATTGCTGCTTGATGGATACACATGTTACCATTTTGGACAGCGAAATGCATCACTGCAAGATATTTGGGTAAAAAAAAAATCTGTACTTGCTCTGAATCCTACTTGTTGCCTTGTTGCATTCTAATAAATACATTAACATGTTGCAATAAAGAAGTTTGTATCGTGCCACTGAAAAAGGTTTACAAGAGAAGTTACTTTAAGGGCTATTTGAAGTATAGACTGAAAGGAGTTTGAGGAAGATATTTTTGGGTTAGAGGAAAAACTACTTAATGTAGAACTTTATATACCTAAACAGGAGAACTTACCTCTGCTGGAGCTAGAATTCCTACACCTAGAAGAGAACAGAGGAACACTTCAGTGTTTTGTTGCAAGGCTGAAGTTGGCATGTCATAAAAGTTAAGTTTATTTGCAAAAATAAATACTTACCCAATTAATGTGCTTCTAGGGTGCTGATGCCCCTATAAATCCATTGATGGATCTTAAAGTCAGCGGGGAAGGCAGGTAGAAGATAAATCTGCAGCCCAGACACTAAATGTTGATATAAAGTGGCCCAGGTTGAGCAATGGGTGCTGGTTGCTGCTGCTGTTAAGGTAACCATGGCAGAGCGAACAATCTTGCTTCCTAGATGACTAGATTTAGGGTTAGGCCTGACTACCCGGTACACAAGAGGGAACGAGTCTAATGATGATGTCTGGGGTTAGGTTGTTTTTCTTAAAAAACATTAGCTCTATAGATTGGAGGATTTCATGCAGAACGAATTGCTCATTAGTCCTTTCCACACAAACCACACATTCTATACTAAGCAAGTTCGTCCAGCAGAGTTGTGTTTCCACTGGAGTGATGTCTAAGGTCTGGAGCCCACTCCTGAGGTTCTCCCTGTTGGCAATATAATATGACATTGTCTGTTTGTTGTACCAAGTTTTTACAATATGCAGTCTGCTCTTCCTAAGTCGTTTGCACTTATTAAAGAGAGCTTTCACCGAATAGGAATTGCACTCCTGAGAAAATATCCTTTGACCCACACTCCCTGGGATGTGGACTTTTGTTTGTACTTGACTAAAGAAATTTTTCCAAACTGAGCCCTTTCAGTCTTTACAATGGACCTAATTGTCTGGGATTGATCTCAAAGTTACCTTAGTAATGAATTCCCATTATGATATGGTACCCAAAAGAGTTATAGAGAATGCCACCATGGGACTACTGGCCACAGAGGACCAGCTAGTTTGAAGTATAACTACAGAACCAATGTTTTGCTGCAGTGTGGGGCTCCTCTTTCACACAGAATGTCAAATTCAGTAACAATGCACACAAGCCACAAACAATGTTATCCTACCACATAGAATAAATTCTGGTGAACTAAGAGGGCTACATACACCAAACACACTGCAAGTAAGCCAGTGCACTGCATGATTGACTCATGTTTATTTTTACATACGCTTCTCTTTATAATAGTATCTACTCACTGTGTTGTATTTGCATACTTCATTTTATAAATCCTATCTTTTGCAGCTACAAACTACTATAACAGAGGATGTCTTATTTCTATTGATACTATTATCTAGTTTCTATCACTAAGACATTCTAGGCATAAAAATAGAATTCAATGAAATTATACCAAGACTTTTTTTTTAAAGTTTTGCCAAGAAACTGTTGATGGATTGCTGAAGACTTATCCTGTCTCTCTTGCTGGTAAGCTGCTGCCACTATTTTAGATCTTTAAGGAAAGAATCATGTGTCATCTACAGCAAAATAAAGAGATTGTTTTCAGTAGTAAAACAAAAAAATATTAACCAAGAAAACCTTTAAGGTGGTTCTACAGACGGTCACACTCCAGCTAACTGTCTACAATTATACCTAAATAAAATTCCTATCAGAATTGAACTGTTAATTAAGATACTAAGTGATTATTTAAAGCGTGCGAGATTTCATATCTTTGCAATATATGATTTTATTATATCTACTAATAACAAGATGGCTTTCCTGAAGTTATTTTACATAGCACCTGTCCTCATAGAAGTAGTTGTTTAACTTTGTGCTTTCAAAAGGTATTGGATTCACAGCTTTGGAAATTGAAGATTTCTGTATTCTTAAAACAGGTAGAATAGAGAGCAACAGCGAGACTGCCTCACATCATTGCTCTGCCAACATGCCATTGCCCTGCTTGGGGGCAGTAAGGGAAGTGATGCTTCTACATAATGAGGCCTCTAGGCCCATTCTTTTGGTCTCTGCTGAGATTAAGAACAAGGGAGCCAAATGGTTTTAAATAAGTAAAAACTTGACTGTGGAGCTGAGGTAAATTCAAGCTGGTAACTTGGAGGTGATGGAGACTGTCTTGGTAGCAATGGTTTTCAAGGGACTAAGCCCCCATTCCTGAAAGAGTATTTTAGCAGAGAGAGGCATATTCTCTCCCCCACCAACCCGGTACTGGTGCTGTGGGTTTTAAGTGTAGTCTGCCCAGTGGATTCCCTGGAACTTAGCCTAGCAAGTACAGAATGCGTGGGAACCCTTGAGATTTGGGGTTCTGCACGCATGGCCTGTATTATAGGATGCCACTACTGGAGAAGACAAAAGCCATTGCATCAACAGGTACAAACCTTACCAATTAGAGAGATGGATCTATTTCCTTAAAAGAATTTTTGATTTGGTTCTAGGAATGAGTAAAGGGTTGATTTTTTAAAAATACTTATTTTAATCTGTCTAATTCATCTATTACTAACTCTGATACAGAAATGGAAGGATGGGGTTACGGTTAGTGCAGGAACTGTAACCAGCTTCCTGATTCTCCTCCCAGGTTTAAACTCTCGTCAATTTTCATCAACTTTTTTTGCTGCACAAACCCTAGTTTTATTCCCTGCAGCTATCAGATATAAGCCTAGACCAGTACATATACTTTATCTTTAGTGAGCCTATATTTAAGGTTGAAAACTCAACTTCTAGAGCCTATGATTGCTAATATCATTCTGGATATCAGTCCAAAGTTATTTCTCTGGAGAAAGTTGAGTCAGTCCCAAGAGAAAGTTTTAGGGGGAAAATGTTTAAAACTAAAAAAAAGCTGTTTGAGACAATGATAATTTTGCCCAATTGCCATATTTTAGTTGTACTGGCACAAAGCTCCTCTTAGAGATCCTGCCAGGACTCCGGCACTAGACCCTTCCTTGTAATGACCAAAGGATAAATAAAACATGGTCTCAGCATTGGAATCTGCATGACTCAGATCTACTAATCCCATTCAAGGTAGAGTGAATGGTCTCTTAGAATACAGGCTAACTATTTATGCTAAACAATCTGTTCAATCTTGCATTTAGCTGTGACATTCGGAGTACCTTTCCCAGACCTGAAGAGCTCTGTGTGGCTCGAAAGCTTGTCTCTCTCACCAACAGAAGTTGGTCCAATAAAAAGATAATACCTCACCCACCTTGTCTCAGGAAATTCTCAGTTAAGAGTTTAACACCAAACCTACCTGTGCACTCTGACCTATCCTAGGCAGGTAGATGGGGTACAGACACATCTGAGTCATTCCCTTTGTGGGCTGGAGACTACCCCTGGACTCTATTGACCCCACAGCCCTTTTATAATCATGAACCAGCACATTGTAATACACAACACTGATCAATCTCACATGGTCTGAGAGCATTGCTTCAGAGAGATCTGCACATGTAGAGGTCCCACCACTCATTAGTCTCCCGCCCCCCTGCACAGAAGGGTGTTTTCTTAACACTGCCGTGGGTTGATAGGGACGTGTACTGTCCTCACTGAATTTCTTCGAAGGAGTCTGTTCAGCCTCAAGTTGCCTTTTTTGCTTAACCTTTCCCCCCCCCCATCAGTGGAATCCACAGCCAGCAGCGCATAGAACCAGGCTGCTAGGGCGCTGCCAGGGACAAGAGATGGCAGGGGTATGGGGAAAGCTACGTAGATATCTCTGGACTCCCAAGGGTCCCCAAAATATAGGGACAAACCCTGCTCCCTCACCTTGGATGATGCAAGAGCAACTTATTGAGGGAATCCTCAGTAAAGAGTCCCCTCCTATGGATCGTACCACAAGAAAGGATATAACCCTTGCTAAATGCTACAGACTAGTCTACGTAGCACCCAGGGCTCACAGGGGATGGGACAGCTGGACTACAGACTGGGTAGTCGCTAACACATTGAGCATGATAAGCTGGGGAGCAGGTACTTGCCTCCAGTTTTGTTCAGAGCTTTTCATTCCTTCCAGAGCAGACTTTGGTGTTGTATTTAGCAAGATTCCCAAGCACTCCAAGTGACAAACAGGTAATACGGTGCCTATCAGCAGCTGTTTTGCTAACACTAGCTCCAACCCTGCTGTGGATGTGAATTTGTTTTACTGAGGGGTGGTCTACACTACTGCTTAAGTCGATGCAACTTACGTGGGTCAGGGGTGTGAAAAAGAGACACACACACCCTGAGCAACATAAGTTACATCGACTTAAGCACTGTCCACCTGGCGCTATGTCCACAGGAGACGCTCTCCCGTTGGCATAGCACGTCTTTACCAGACGCGCTACAGCGGCGCAGCTGCATCAGTGCAGGCTCTAGTGTAGACTTGCCCTAAGAATCAGCCAAGAGACTGGAGTTCGTTTAATCAGAGGAAAAAACAATCTTTAATTGTCACATGGCCAGCCAGAGTCCACCAGAAGCAAACTCCTGATATAAGGATAACACCCACTAGCCCTTTACACTTTGTTTTAGAAAGAGGGCTTAAACCTGTTCCCAATGAACTCAATGGAAGCAGGATCAGACTGATAGTGTAGATTCATTACGACTAGACCTCTTTATACAAAAGCAGTTGGCAAGAGAACTATTAGTAACTCATCTTTACATCCCTTTTAACAGTTAATAGATTGTTTTTGTAATTCATGACTCATCTGAAAGCAACACAGTAACAGTACCAAAACTCCCAGGCAGTCTCCCAGGATTTAGAAAAGAAGCCAGTAAATTATAAGACAACAGTCCAACAAGAACACAAAAGCAGGTTCCAGCAGCGTTGCTTACTGACCTTATTCACATTGGTTAACCTTAGACAATACAGACTGACACCATCTGCCTGACCAAATTCAAGTGGTATCCCTAACTGCCTGACAGTTAGGTGGTTTGCTATGGCATCAAATATTAAGTGTTAGGCCTAGTCTACACTTAAAAGTGTGGTCAACAAAGCTATGGGGCTCACAGGTGTGAAAAATTCCACCCCTGAGTGCTGTGGCGATGCGGATCTAGCCCCTGTTGACCTTGCTACTGTTGTTCGGGAAGGTGAAGTTCCAACAGTGATGGGGGAAAAAAACCCTCTGTTGCTGTAGGAAGTATCTACACTACAGCTGTAGTTCCGTAGTTATGCTGCTGTAGTACACATAGTGTAGACATAGCCTCAGCAATCTGTCTCGGGGCAGATGAGTGACCTTTTACATGGGCTTGTGAGTTTATGCAATTCAATTTTCAGATAAGATGCAACCTTAGGCCTGGGGGGTGGGGGGAGGTGTCTCCAACCCTTCAGGAGCGCAGAGCACTCCACTGAAATGGCAGTTCCCACCTGAGCTGGCATAAAATGGAACACTACTGCTGATTAACAGGAACTGTTTTTCCTGCAGATATTGGGTGTATAACATCCTGGACTTTATCCAGATACAATGTAAGAAAAACATCCAGAAATAAAGCTAGAAAGAAAATGTGGAGCAGCCCCGTACATAGATGAACAGCACTGCCCCATTAACCTTATTTTAAAAAGATATGTCATCTGAGGCCCCAGATTAACAAAGACCCTGCACCCACCCAACATCTAGCTGTCACATTGCTGAATCCAGGTTCCCTTTTAGGGCCAGTGACTCAACACTTTAACAGGAAAAATAGTCCAGGCTGAAATGTTTTACATCCAATGGGAAGGGAGAATGTTAAGCTTCTTGTAATAAGGAAGGAAGGAAAAAACCATTAGTAGCTAGAAAGGAAGCACATTTCAGTATGGTTGCTTCTGTCCTTAAAAAAAGGGAAAGCAAATACAGGAACATGTTCTCTCCTATACACAGTTGTGTTTATACGCTTGGAAAATCTTTAGTTTCAGTAAAACTAGGCAGAGGGGAAAAAATTATTAATCTTCTTAAGCACAAAACCCTGCCAGATATCAAAGGCAACTCAGATCTAGCCTGGAAGAGGCTTAACTTAATACTGTTTCCTTTTATGTAACTAGGAAGAGTCAAGGACCACAAATGTACAAGTGAACAGGAAGGACAAACTATTTTTTAAAAGCTTACACCTTATTACATATGCTTAAATATCAGCATCAGATCGGTAAGACTCATTGGGCCCAGCAGCCTGGACACTTCTTTGGTGCTAACAATCCCCTTCCCCCTCTTATTTGAGTCCTACCAGATTTGTTCTACCTTCTAATGACTTAGGAACCATAGGAGCAAAAATATGTTTCCTATCCATGATCAGACGTAATATTCTGGTATTATTTTTACATAAACTTTTGGAACTATTTCAAATAACGAATTCCCTCCACACAGGACTTTGCTGAAAAGTACATGAATGCAATGTAGCCCCAGGATGGAAAGGGGTGTCACTGGTTTGATGAGAATTAGAAGAATCACTTTATCACAACAGTAGGATCATTAGGTCATCCCAGAACTCTTTTTTTGGAGACTTTTTATTTTACCTCTCCAAGGGTCACCCAGCGCACCGAAACAATTGTCATTCATGGGAGGATTTAAAGGCGTGGAAAGCATGTTTGAGCTCTAGTCTAAACAGTATGTGCAATAATTAGATTAAATCAGTTTAGAAATTAATTGTTAAATTGGAGCAACCCTCTGTGTGTGTGCCCATATTCTGGATTAAGAGTACCCTATATCGATTGAGGTTAAATCAATAAAAAACAGACTTAAGCCAATATAAGAGGTTCCTTAAACTAAAATAGTTTTAGAATTTCCACACAAGGAAGTTGTTCCAATTTAACTAAGTTCAGGCCTACACACAATCTTTCATTTGTTTAGGAAAGCTCCAAATGGGTTTAACATTACAACTTTAATTTAAACAGCTGTGTGGAGACAAGGCCTGCGTGTGTATGTGGTGGGGTGTCCATCCCACAAAGGACTGGAAGGAATTAAGATGGCCAATTAACTCCCCAGGCTGCACCTGGAAGAAGAGCCAGGAAGCAGGGAACTAAGTAATTGCAAGCAGGCTCACCTCTACAGGAACAGGTGGGGCCTTCAAAGCCAGGAAGCTGGCTACAGATGGGTGTGTGGGGTTGCAGGCAAGGAAGTAGGCTGCAGCCACTCCCTGAGTGGAGGGAGATGGGAAGCCAGATAAATAAGTAGGAAGAAGCCAAGGGAAACAGCAGCAAGGTGTAGGACCATGCAGAGACCGTGGCTGCTTGTTATAGGGTCCCTGAACTGGAACTCAGTGTAGAGGGAGGGCCTGGGTTTTCCTACCAGCCACGGGAAAGCAGCAAGAGTGTTGGAGATGCCAGGCAGTGAGTCTGGAAGAACTCTGAATTCCCCAGAAGGGGAGCACCTTAGTGACCTGGCCGGAGGCCCAAGCCACCGAGAGGAAACTGCAGTCCCTGGAGTGAGGACGGACACAGGGCATGGGGGAAGACACCCCTGGAATGCCTGACAGAGTGAATTCCCAGCAAGAGGCCCCACTAGTGTTGAGTGAACCCTGTGACAGTGTATGAGAAGGATACTTTAAATAATTAAGCAACAGAGGGTCCTGTGGCACCTTTAAGACTAACAGAAGTATTGGAGCATAAGCTGCCGTGGGTGAATGCCCACTTCATCAGATGCAGGCTCACTTCTACAGGAACAGGTGGGGCCTGTTGTGTCTGATGCATCTGATGAAGTGGGCATTCACCCACGACAGCTTATGCTCCAATACTTCTGTTAGTCTTAAAGGTGCCATAGGACCCTCTGTTGCTTTTTACAGATTCAGACTAACACGGCTACCCCTCTGATACTTAAATAATCAAGGCTCCTCTGAAAATGCCCTGGTTTCCCCCACTGTACGCATTATAAACACCCAAATTTCCTGCATCTAGCTAGGTGTCTTGTAAGCATGTTACAACACCACAGTGTTTGCTGTGTCTTGTTAATTAAAAATTCACAATATTCAAATAGAGAAGTATCCTCCGTGGACCATTTTATTCATTCTGTATTAGAAATAGGTCCAATCTGTGAGGTTCTGACATCAATCTGAACTACCCCCAAAGTTGAGGGACTGGTGCTTGGTTCCAGACCATCTCTTTTACAACTTATATACTTAAGCATCCTAATTTACCTCCTCCTCCAAACCACGCAAAC